TTTAGATTGCGGATGTGTATTTTTTTTCTGTTTTCTCTCATATTCCCTCTCTCTCTCTCCCTCTCTCTCTCTCTCTCTCTCTCTCTCTCTCTTACCCTCCTCCCTCTCCCTCCCACCCCTTTCCCCTCCTTTATTTCTCCCTTTTTATTTTTCTTTCTTACTCCCTTTCCCCTTGCTCTCACTCAGGGCTGTGGAGGAAGAGGAGGTCCAAATGCAGAATCCTCTCTCCCGCGTTTACATAGCAGCTAATGAAGACACTAGTCATCCACATAAAGACGTATTTCACAGATTCCACTCAGGGCTGGGGAAACAAAATGCATCTCTGAAGACATATGCTTTCTTTTTTTTTTTTTCAGACAGTTAGAACTAGGGAATCATCCTGTGCCCCCTTTGCCTTGACTGTTAGGAAACTCAGAACTAAATTTTATGATCAGCCACATTAGCTGTCTAAGTTTAGTTTTCCTGGTAGAATCAACTGCTTACTGGTCCCCTATTTATTACTTTTTTCTTTCCTTTTAAATTTTAACCAGCTTATAGTTTTGTTCTGTTTACAATTTTATTTAGGTTGACCCAAATTCTGTTTAGAAATAGGCATGATATATATATACACGCATACGCGATACACACACACACACACACACACACTCATCTTTTTCTTTTTAAATAAGAACAACTTTGGGATCACTCAGTGTTCCCACAGGAGGAAAAGACCAAAACTGACCCAAGACACCCAATGAAAAATAGTTTCTTTATAACAATCCTTTTATAATGTTTAGTCCAATCTGAGAAAACTAAGATTTTCATTCCTAGTTTTTTGGGGGGAAACAAAAAATAGCTGCCACCCTTCAGAGGCTGGAATGCCTCAGGCCTTCTTAACTGAATCCTCCAGGCTGTCACTGCAGCCAAATACAGAGCTGTCCTCTGCCCATGTTTCTGTCCCATTTTCTAATCTGTTGTCCCTTGTCCCCAATGAGGTAGGCTGCATGGTCTCCTGATATCCTATATGTTATTGATCTATTTTATCATGGGCTTCATAACTCAGGCCAGGTTGTGATTTATCAGCCTTCCTTTGCTGCGACAGTCTTCAATATTAGCCTTAGGTATTTATTTATGTAGGGATTTAATAAATTCTAAGATTTATTGGCTCTACACCAGGCTCAGAGACTTCTCCGCAGATGTATTAGGATTTCTTGCACTCCTTGGATAAAAAAAGAGCAATAGAAATTTTTTACGTCCACACACATAGGCAGTTGGCATTATTTTCAGAGAGTCTCTTAGCTTCTTGCAGAAGGCTGCTACTGGCAAATAGAACCTAGCAGAGGCTTGGCCACATGTGCTATCACTCCAAACGAGGGCCAGCTGCTCAAGGTTGAAACTCACCTTGCTCATCTGAAAAACAAAAAAAGACAGACCTCATTAGGCAGTGGATCTAGCTCTTTCACAGGCACAAACTCTAATGGAGGCTGAAAAACGAGAAGACTCTAAGAAGAAGACTCCTTCCCCATTCACTGTTCTAGTCAGTGACATTTTAATCCATCATCGAGAATTCTGGAAACGGGTGAAGGAAGACAATCTTGGCTTTTTGGAAGAGGAAAAAGAAACTAGTATGAATTGTACCAACTATATGCCAGGCACAATAAGAAGTACTGTCACATGGTCTTTTACTCTACTCTTTACATAAGTATCATTTTACAGATAAAGAAACTGATGCTCAAGGTGAGGAAGTAACTTGTTTTAAATCACATATTCCTAAGGGGCAGAGCCAGGATTTGTCCCCAGGCCAGAGACAGATGGTGAAGAGGACAGGAAATAGGAAGAAAGAACAACAGCTGGAGACCCCATGTGAGGCCGCATGCCCCAGAAGCCCACCTACCCTGAAGAGGTAGAAGCCAATGGCAAGGTGAGAATTCCAGTTGCGGTGCTTGTGCCTGGGCTTCTGGATCAGGGACACCAGCACACTGCAGGGCATCAGGAATGTCCTGCCCTCCTGGGGCCTCCAGACTGACAGCAGGAACTGCGGGTTCTTCCAAAATGTGTCTGGGGCAGAACAGAGCAAGAAAAGACAGGTTCCCCTAGCATGTTGCTTCCCAAACCACCTAGAGGTGCCCAGATCCAGGGCACCTGCCCCAGGATTCCCACCCGGAGGTCCACCTGGACAGAGTCGGGGTCTCTGCACCCTCAGCCCTTCCCCCTCCCATCTCACCTCTACCACCCCAGGCTATCCTACAGACACATGACCGTGAGTCATTCTCACCATGCAGCCCCTTTGCACAGCACAGTGCCAGGCACACACTTGGTGCCCTGTAAATGTTTGCTGCCCAAGTAAGTGACAGCATTAACTAACCGAGGAGACCGTGCCCATGATTCCAAGGGGACCAAGCCTTAGGTTAAGGGCAGCTTCAGCCTTTGCAGGGCATACTGTGGGGAGAGGGTGACACCAGAGCCAAAGTCACCCCGGCCCGCTGAGATCATACCCTGTGGTCTTAAGGGACAGTCACCAAAACTTCCATTTTGAGAATGTGGACATGTTTGCCTCCTGGGACTGAGGACCTGGGAATCCTTGATCCCTACCAAACTCTAGGTGGGACAAGCCTGACAACATCTGATATCATTACTGTTTCAATCCTGCCTGTTAAGGGATGGTTATTTCAGCATATAGATCACCTGGTCCTGAAAGCAAAGCAAGGTTTAACCCACTTTTTTACCATGCACATGCCCCTGTGGCCTCCTGGTGCTGATGAGGAAAAAGCACCCTCTGGAAAGACATAGCCTCGACAGGCTGGCAGCTTGACTGAGATTTCCATGCCTTTGTGCAAATTCAGACCAAAGGTGCCCCATCTTCTCAGCGGACATGACCCAGGGCCAAAGCAGTTAGCTTGGCCAGAGACCCCTTCATCCTTCAGCCAGATGCCCTTTGCAGGGCACAAGTTGCACAGCCATCCACAGTGGCTCTGCCCACATCCCCACCCTTGCCTGGGAAAGCTGCCACGTTAGACCCAAGCACCCTGGCTCCTGTGTACACACTCACCTTGGAGTGACTTCCTTGGGCCACCAGCTGTGGTCCCCTTCTCCCATCTCCCCTCCTGCATGGTGTATGACCATTTCTGCCCCACGTCCTGATTCAGCAAGCCTGGGGTCAGTTTACAGATGACCAGTAGTTTGAAATGCGCTTTAAAGTCCATAAGCGTCATCCTGTGGAGAGGAAGAGGGAACAACAGTACAAAGAGAAGAATGAGATGACGTCTAGTTATCAGGACCAAAGGGAAGGCTGGGGACTCAGCAGTGGGCATCCCAGCCCTCCCCCCTCCATGCCCGTGTGCCGAGCTGAGCAGGCCTTGGACCCACGAGAATGGGGCTAGCTAGACCAGGGTGAGGGTCCATCACAGGTTGGTGGAGCTGCCAAAACTCCTCCCTGTGGTTGGAGGCAACCTTGTACAATGGCTACCTGAGGGGAATGTTCCCGTTTTGCCTGGTTGTAGTGATAAAGCTGAACTGAGGCATTCATAACTAGTCCATTGATTTAAAAATGTTCAACAAGAATCGCATAAATCAGTTCTCAATCATTAACTGATATTTGCTAACCTACTCGCTAACCTTGCAATCAAGGCATAGTATCTGAACTGTCTGATGCTCAGTTTACTTATCTGTAAAGTGGAAATAATAGTATTTGCAGGGATCTTGAATTCAATGACCACTTGCAAAGAGAGAGGGTTGCAGCGTCTGAAAAGGATGGGTAATGGAAGAGAGGAGTCCACAGGGACAAGGGTGGAAGTGAATAGCAAAGGTGAAAAGCAAAAGGAAAGAGGAATAGACATCTAGAAGCGGCGTCGGCTCAGGGTGTTGGGATGATCTTTCATAACGAGAGTGGCTTTGGAGTGAGTGAGAGTAGTGCTATTTCACTCTGGACGGCACAGGTGATGTGGCTTATAGTTTGGTAAGACTTTGTAGTTCCTTCTTTCCTCATCTCCTTTTTTAGGCCAGGAAAGGCATAACCTTGGGATCAAGTGTACTGACTGATTGAGAGCAGAGCAGAAGTCAGAGAAGAGGGAGCCACCACCAGACTCTTCTCTGAGTGCCCACGGAGCTTCATGCTGGTGGTCACTGCTCTCATCACAAAAACTGTGACTGCTCATTTGCAGGACTATTAGCCCTGCTAGACAGTGAGCCTCTACAGCAGGGGTCCCCAACTCCTGGGCCCTGGACTGGTACTGGTCCATGGCCTGTTAGGAACCGGGCCACACAGCAGGAGGCAAGTGAAGCTCCCCAGCACTAGCGTCACCGCCGCAGCCCCATCTCAGATCATCGGGTATTAGATTCTCATAGGAGCACTGGTCTTTGGTGCCAAAAAGATTAGGGACCGCTGCCCTGAAGGATCTTCTTGATTTCTGTATAAGAGATGCCTGGCATACATGAGGAACCCAATAAATATTTGCTGGTTGACTGACCAAAAGTAAGCCAGGGCATTTGTCCCAAGTCCCAGAGTCAAATACCAAAATTCGCCATCATCATTTTTTCTCAGCAGCACAATCTTCTCCTTAGGGCTCAATAGTTCCCATTTGCTTGAGCTGAAAACAGAAATGTTTTCGTGAGGGAAGGGACTGCGGAGGACGTGTGAGAAATTCTTTAGTAAATGCTCTCCAGTGTTGTTATTTATTCTCATCTTCATGCTGCTTTACAGACAGCTAAATCTCACATCCTATATTATAAAAAGTAACATGTAACATTAATTCATCACTGTGAGCCAAATTCTGGTTAGGCTCCTAACATACTTTATTTCATTTAAAGCTAACAACAACTTTGCAAGGTAGAGATTTTTATTGCCGTTTTAGAGATTAGGAAACTGAGGTTAAAAGAGATAAATTTACTTGCTTGAAGTCACAAAGCTATTAAATGTCAGAGCTAGCACTGGAATTACTTATTTTCAAAGCCTATCATTTTGGACTTCTATTTCTGGCCATAAAGGAGTAAGGCTTTCCTGTATCACTTTCATACCATAGACAACTAAAAATGGGACAAAATATAAGAAACAATGTTTTTCAGATATTAAACAGCAGACAGCACAGGACAAGAGGAGGGAAACAAATGAGGTGAGCCTAACATTGCCTAGACTCCTGCCTAGAACTAAGTCCCTGGGCAGTGATGCAGGGAAGCAAAACCCACAAAGAACCTAGCCGTCCTGCTGAGTGCAGGGGACAGAGTCTGGAGTCCAGGGAGGTCAAGACAGTTAGAATTTGCTGGGGAAAGTGCCTGAGAGAAGGGGCTACATAAAGAAGTTCCTCCAGAGAACTTCTCAGGGGTTCCCTCGAGTCTTTGGCTGAAATCAAATCTGTGCATACATAAGTAAAACCCCACAAGACTGGACTATACGCAGAACAATACCCAGAGCTGAAGTAGGGCTGGGAATTCTTTAATTTCCCACCAGCCAGAGTTGAAAGACCTTGTTGATTGCATGGGGTCTTTAGTATAGATACCAAAGGGTCAACCCCTTCATAGTGGGGTGAAATTATTTCTGAAATAAATATTTCTCTAGATCTGCTTTAAAAGAGCTTTAAAATAAAACTTCAAAGTATCAAAAATAATCCCTAGGCAACTTAGCTACCTGCCCAAAAAAGCCCAATGTTCTTTAAAGGAATGCAGCAAAATTCAGCACTCATACACTTAAATTTACAATGTCCAGAATCCAATAAGAAACTGGTAGGCGTATGACAAGGTAGAAAATGTGATCCATGATCAGGAATAAAAATAGTAGAAACAGACATAGAAATGAGAGAGATGATGTAATTATCAGATAAAGACAATAAAACAGCTATTATATGTTCCATATTCTCAAGGTTATAGAGGGAACTATAGACATAATGAGGGGAGAAGTGGAAGATATTCTCAAATGAAATCTCTAGAATTAAAAAACATAATACCCAAAATGAAAAACACACCGACAGGATTGACAGCAGATTAGACATTGTGGAATAAAAGCTCATTATTTTATTTAATTCTCACCACACCTCTGGCTCAGAGAAATAAAAAACCTTGTTCAAGATTACACAACTAACAAAACTAATTTAATCTATCACCTACCTCTAATGTAAGTACTTCCTCATCTATGAAACAAGCCAAAACCAACAACGTCATGATGCTATATTTTGGTAACACTTTAGAATTTTCATGTTTTGGGATGCTAGTTTTCCTTATAGACCCAGTTTCTTTGACAATTCTTTTTATCAATGTATAACAAATTTAGTGCAGCACATCCTATGAGGAGTAGAAGTCAACTTATTTTTCTGAGCTTTCATTTCTTCTAAAAATAATTAAATGATAATGATTAAGTGATAATGTTTCTGTACTTTAAAGTGTTATATAGAGTCAAGTATTATAATCTTCATAGCAAGAGAGAGAAGGATTTTACCACTTGGTCTCCCTTTCTGCCTGTGCCCTACAGAGAGTCTGTAGTCTGTAAAGCCCACATCCCTTTAGAGTTTTCTTTAGGCAGAAACAACCTAAATGTGGGCAACTAGTCAGAATGCCCAGAGGTCATTAAATGTAACCAGAATGTAGGGGCCAGCGAGATCTGTCTACCTCTGACTCAAAAAGCCCAAGAGTGCACTGAACCATGCTAGGGGAAGAACATTGGACTAGACAGGAAAGATCTCAGTTGAGTCATGCCGTGAGACCTTACGTAATTCACTTAAACTAAGCATCAGTTCCCTCATTAGTAAAATGGGGGTGAAATTACCTACCTCAAATGAGCATTGTTTAGAGGATTAAATGAGATAATAAAAATTAAATGAGATAATATAAGTGAGATAATAAAAATTCAAAGGACTTAGCACAGTGCTGGCAAGCTCTCAATAAACATTAACTTTAATTACTATAATAAGTGACAAAACAATCTATATATCATTAAACATTTTAGAAATGTGAGAGACTGACCTTCACAATCTGAAAGCTTTCCTGATCCAGCCTGAGATCAAAGGAAGAACACCTTTGACCTCGTGTGCAGATGGCAACCTCCTTTGTAGGCTTCACCTACCCCTCCTTCACCCCTCCCAGCCAGTCTCAGAAGTTCACCTGTCACTCCAGTCTCCTTTCCATTCCACCTTCCCCCAGGGGTTCCGCAGCTTGACGAGATATTCAGGTCCACTTTTACAGGTCACCTGCACAGAACAAGCAGTTTAGGTATGCTGGGCCAAAAGCCAACTGCAAATGTTACAGATATCTGGGTGAGATTCATGTCTGTAATGAGACCTTGAAATGAAAGGTCAGAGGCCTTGAGAGTTGGTAGAGGAAAAAATGGCTCTGCTACTGACTAACTGTGAGACCTAGGACAAGTAACTTAACCTCTCTGTGACTATTCCTGATCTGTAAAATGAAGCTAATAGTCACATCTGCTGTAAAAGACTGAATGGTCTAGTAGAACTAAAGGGAGAAACAGACCAAAACACTGCCGTAGTAGGGGACCTAAATACCCCACTGTCGGATATGGACAGATCATCCAAACAGAAAATCAGTAAGGAAATAACATCCTTAAATGACACATTAGACCAACTGGACATAATTGACATTTACAGAGACTACCATCCCAAAACAGATGCTTATACATTCTTCTCTAGCGCACATGGAACATTCTCAAGAATCAACCACATACTGGGACACAGAGATAGCTTCAACAAATATAAGAGGGTTGAAATCATACCAACCATATTCTCTGATCATAACGCTTTGAAACTAGAGATCAACTGCAGAAAGAAATCAAGAAGACCCATAAATACATGAAGATTAAACAACATGCTACTGAAGAATAATTGGGTCAGAGAAGAAATAAAAAGAGAGATCAAGAGATACACAGAAACGAATGATAATGATAGTACGACATATCAAAACTTTTGGGGCACTGCAAAAGCAGTTATAAGAGGAAAGTTCATATCATTACAGGCCTACCTCCAAAAACAAGAATGAGCCCAAATAAACAACCTAACACTACATCTTAAAACACTAGAAAAGGAAGAACAAATGAAGCCTAAAGTCAGCAGAAGGAAAGAAATAATCAAAATTAGAGCATAAATAAATAAAATTGAAAACAAAACAAAACAAAAAGATAGAAAAAATAAATGTAACAAAGAGCTGGTTCTTTAAGAAGGTTAATAAAATTGACAAACCCCTGGTTAGACTCACTAGAGAAAAAAAAGAAAGGACACAAATAAACAAAATCAGGGACGAAAGAGGGGAAATTATGACCGACATCACAGAAATACAAAAAATCATACAAGAATACTATGAAAAAGTATAGAACACCAAATTTAATAACCTAGAAGAAATGGACCAGTACTTAGAAAAATACAACATTCCTAGACTGAATCAAGAACTGGAAAATCTAAATAGACTGATCAGCAGTATGGAAATTGAAACAATTATCAAAAACATACGAAATAGTAAAAGTCCAGGACCAGATGGCTATAGTAGAGGAGCTGTTGTGCAGGGGCTGACTCTATAGATCAGGATTCTCTTTAGCAGTGCCTTGGTGCCTGCTGAGT